TTTGTACTTCTTTATAAGTTAAATTATTGTTTTTAGGTATACAATATTTTTTTGCTTTAGTTAATTAGAGAATTTAGGATTTATTATTAGATTTTTTACGTTCTTTATAAGTTAAATTATTGCTTTTAATTTCTTATTATACAATATACAAATATACAATATTATTTGATACGCATCTTATTTATTATATTATTATTAATAGTTTATATTATATTTATTTACAACTACAGATAAGGTATTAACTAAGAGATCACATTTTATTTGTACTTTATGTTCAGTTCATATTATATTTGAGATCACATTTAGTTTGTACTATTATTTATATTGGTTTGGTAGTCGTTTGATTAAGGTGTAAAACTAAACTTATTTGTCTAAAGCTAAGCTTATTTATAAAGGCATATTCCGTTTGTTAGATAAATAGCGTTTCTGCTTTTGCCTATTATGGCTGTGTTCGACGCTCCTTCGTACTTCCTTTTCAAACTCTATACGGCCCTGGAGTTTAAAAATGTCTGAAAAAATGAAATAAAAACATAACTAAAACTTCAGAAAATAAGTGAATAATATAAATTACCAAACAGAGCCACGTTAACTATTTTCAACTTAGATAGCGATTTTCTGCCGCATCGACCATCCCAATTGAAATGATGCAAAACTTCATCTGCGAAGATCCTTTTGATCACCGCTTCAATATCTCCTGAAGAGCCTTTTAAGGTGAAAAGATATGATATCTGCAAAGAGATTTGTGATGATTAATAAATAAACATATGAACCTAAATAAAACTGGAAAATATAATATCTACTCACCATTGCGTCTTCGTAATTTTTTTCTATTAGCTTTTCCTCCAAATCAAAAACAGCATCTAAAGATTGCATTGGCATAAGAACGGCCAGTTCTGTGTGGAGATCTTCGCAGCTTTCTCCGGATATGCGGCAAACACTCTGATGTACTTTTTTAATTAGCACTCTCGACTCACGCACGACTTTATGGTGAGCCATCACATCAGTTTTGTCAAGCATCTGAAATATATATGCAGTCAAAATTATGCAATGTGTTTTAAAAATATTCAAAGGTAAATACAACCCATGCCAAAATTATAAGGCGCATTTTGACAAGTTTTAACGAATCTATATACTTTATTCTCTAAAGACCCGTAAGAATTTCAAGGCTTTTAATTTGATTCCTTTGAAAAATTTTGAGTATGCAGTTTTGAGGTCCATTTAATTGAAGTAAAATAAAAGGTAAGTTTGAAGTAGCTGGGACTTACTGCTGATTTTTAGATTTTTTGTTTAAGGTTTTGCCCATTTTCTTCTATGCGGAATATGTGCGATGATTTTTTTATATGGACGAAATTACGCAACATCTTTAAAAAATTGCCAAAAATCAATAGTAAGTCATAGGTACATAAAACTTGCACTTTAAGGCACTTAAATTAAATGTGCTAAAAAACTGAATACATACTCTAAATCTTTCTAAGGAATCTAGTTAATAAACTTAATTCAGATTTATGTAGCTTTTTTAATGCTTCCGGTTTAGAAAGTCAAGTATTATTAGAATAACACAGGCCAACAACAGTGTCGCGCTGTGTAGTCACTTACTTTTCCTTCCAAGCTATCCTACCGGGTCTCCAAATTTGTTTGCTTTTGTAATATAATTTCCAACATGTTCATTACATCTGTAAAATAAAAGAATTTGTAGCTACCTTCATATACATACATAAATGTGCAATCATGTGTAAAATTTTTAGACCAATTACATGAAGTGCTTTATATTACCTTTGTTTGTTGCTGAAATTTCGGAAACAACTGGTGTTTCAGTTGCAGCAAACACACTCTGGCTGTGACAAGATGTTAATACTAAAAAATATCAGGTTATTATAAGATTATTTTCTATTTCAAATGCTTACCTTGATTTGAAGAACAGGCGTTGAAGTCTAGGGAAAGTTGAAGCCTTTTCCTTTTTCCTTCCTTAGGGGTGGATGTGGCCGGGGGTGTCCAGTCGAAAATATCGGCTTCCTCACTCATATTTCTCCAGAATTCGTAGCATGGTTAAAACAAAGAAAAAGAAAATGTGTTATTAATGGGAACAAGTAAATTTTGCTGATGTATACTAGAATAAACGTTTATAACTAGTGTGCGAACTCATGAAAGAGGTGATGTAGTATTGGAATTAAAAGAAAATTATTTTCATAAGGTATGCAAAAGTATTTGTATTTGATATTTTTTTTTTTAAACCGTATTATTTCATCACTTAACCCGCTTGCAAGCAAAATGCCAAGTCCAGAAAAGGATTCAAGGGGCTCAATAAAGTAATTACTTATTTCTTTAAATTTGTATCCGACCACTACCTCCTCTTCTGATTCTATGGGCATATCTATGACTTTGAAAGGTCCCGTATCTTCACTAAAACAAAAAGAATCTTTTTCTTTTTTATGATTAATGAAAAACGCATCAAGTTTTGAATTTTTATCTTCTATTAAATTTTTTCTTTCGTCAATTCTCAAACACAACTGTTGTAAAATATTTGTGGGGGATTTAATAAGTTTTTTTAAGTACTGCATATAATTTTCGAATTTGTAGGCCGAAAATGTGTCTAAGGGTCCATATTCTTTGGCACAATTAGACAAATGAAGCAGGCTGTGCAGGTTAAAACTTATTAAATGATCCCCATAAATATTTCCAAACAAATTAACAAATTCATTTAATAATTGCTGTACAATATTTGCTTCTCCTTTGTAAGATCTTTCGGAAGAGAGAATACGTATACTGGCATGTAATAAAAGAAAATGGTAATACAAATGTTCATCAACACAATTTTTCAAAACAAATATACCCGAGTATAGTAAAAATTGTCTATATTCAGTGGATTTCCAATTTTTGATTTCATCAAAATTTCTGCAAACTCTTCCGAATTCAGATGGCACCCAGACAGAAAGAAATTTAAGCTTATCATTCATTACGTTAACGTTTACTTTATTTACTAGAAGATGCAAGAGTTTTTTAACCACACCTAAATCAACGAGGTGCATGGGATCTAAAGGAAATTGAGAAACCATTCCAAAACCCGCTTCTTCTAAAACATTTTCTTCTTCCCGAAATTTGACGTTATGGTGTGCCAAATCATTTCTATTTTTGAATGAAAAATCGGTTCTTAATTCACATAGTTCCTTAGAGAAGCATACCCTTTTTTCTAAATAATTACCTACTTGACAACATTTAGGGCAGCCCTTTTTCGCATTATGATTTTGAACCCCAGTCACAAAAGCTCTCGCGGGCGAATCACACGTAAATAAACGAACATTAAATCTTTTCAAAATGGGGTTAATCAAACCGACTTTCAAACCGTTATTTCTTAAACATACTACTTCGTCACAAAAATCTTTCATAAATTCATTAACATTGCTTGGTTTTTGCTTTCCTGAGAAGCAGGCGATAGTAAAAGGTTTTTCTTTTGGAAAATCAACGATTGAACCAAGAATAGGCCATAGTACTTTGCTTGAACTTTTGAATAGCTTTAAGCCATCTATTCCAACATCTATTAAAACTTGATCTTTTTCATTTAAAAATGGAAATGAACGAGATTCAAAATGCGTTTGAATGCCAATATACGTAAATTCTCCACCCGAAATATTCTTAATAACCGATTTATTTTTTGTAGTTTCAAGCAAAGTTTTTGCTGATAAGGGTAAATCATGAATGCCTATTTTTCTTAAAGCGCTTAGCAAATTGCTCAACACTGCTTGGGACACATTATTTTCAATTGCCCATAATTTTAAAATTTTACACTTTTCTGCACTTGTTATACATTCTATTTCATTTTCCGACCGGCATTCTGAATCGGAAAATGAAAAAGAATTTTCGGGGCTAGAATATGGCGCAGACGCGGCACCTCCGCCATCTTCCCCATCAGCTTGCGCAAATTCGGGTAAGCTTTTATATTTCAACGCACTTCTTTCACATTCTTTTTTTAGTTTGCACATTTCGTTACTAAACGTTTTTCTCTTCATTTTTTGTTTGAATTATATCGCTTAACTCACCTGTACCAATTTAATAATTATTTTCTCTCGGCTTCTGCAATATGGCGGGCGCGTCCACTTTTAGCGAAAATGAAAATTTTTGGTTGCATACGTCATGCTGCCACCGCGGAAAGAAATCTTTGGAGCCAACAAAAAAACCTTACTTATGGAATTGAATTTAATAATTTATCGATTGGGTAACACCGTTTTCTTCTTTTGGTGTTCTTCTTCTTCTTCGGTAAAACGAAACATTCAACATTCCTATGTACACGATATGTGCGAGTGAATAAAGTAAATGATTAAAGTACAAATATTGAATGATGTTGTTTCTTTCCACAAATCTTTACCGGCGGATTCATATATGTATTGGTAAAATTGCTGAAATTGATTTGTGAAACGGTCATTGAATTTTTGCAGGGGAATAAAAAATACTTCATCTGGCAAACAAATTAGTTGCAATGACTGTTAGAAACAATACATAAAATAGATTTGCATATCGCTAGCTTAGAGTGCAAAGTTGCTAAGTCCATTTTTTTTTTAACTTTACAGGAGAGGAAAAAACTTCTTATAGCCATTTTCTCAAGTATTTCGCAAATGTTTGAATACAACATTTTGCGTGTTTAAAGCACAGCAAAACTCTATACAAATAAGAAGTCGTATTATTTTGGTTTTGTCGGATTTTCGGTGCCTCTTTTGGACTTTCATTGAATTTAAACGAAAAAAAGTAAAACAAGAACCTCAATCCTTTTCGGAACGATGCATTTTTAATATCCCTTGCTTCCTATATTAAAATATGAGTTTTAATAAAAAGTGGACTTAGCAACTTTTCACTCTAAACTAGCGATACATATGTTTTTTCTTGGAAGGATAAAGGATTAAAGCTATATCTTCAATTCCAGTCTTAAAAATAACTAATAAAATATGTAAATACACTGGCGGCAGAAATAATAGCACAACATTAACTCTTGTGTTAGCATTAATTGGGAAACTCAAATGGTAAATAAGTATGTTCATTTAAAATGTCCAGTAAGAAATATCCAGTAGCAAAATTCCGGCGAAAGGTTCTGTTCTCTCACAATAAAAAAATATTCAACAATTTTTATTGAGCTCGAGGCCGTTTTTTAATGAAAGTTTTAATGTGGAAAAGCAACAATAATTAGAAAAAATGGTAGAAGTGATGGCAACTTCGGAAATCACCACATTTCCTCATTAGACTTCTTTCAGTAGGCTTCGAACCGACGATCCCACTGACTCAGCCAGTTGCCTGTGCACTGTGCTAAGCTCGCCTTGTAAATTATCGTTGCTTTTTTCCCACTTTTTCATTTTGTTATGCCAACACAATCAAGCGCAGCTATTCCGCTGCGATTCACTTGATCATGTGGTTGTTGGGTTTTGCTAATAATTCTATTCTTAGAATGTTTAACTTTTAGGTGTGCTCGTCCTTAATATATTTGTTTTTTTGTTATTTTATGGCCTTATAACAATTATATTCAATAATATTTATTGAGCTCGAGGCCGTTTTTTAATTAATTAATTAATCCCAACGAAGGGCACAGTCCGCATGACGTACGGAACCTTTTTTTTTAAGTTTTTTGGTGCCGAGTAGTGGAAACAGGAGTTTGTTAAGTGTCGAGATCTAAAACTATTCAGCTACAGAATCAAAATCATCAGCTGATTGGATATGCTAAAGATAGTATTTCAATTATTGAGAGTGGAAATAATAGTTTTCTTTATAGTAAAAATCGAGTCCGATACGTCAAACGTGCTGGAATGACAGTTAAAATCTTGACATAAACCACGGAATGATTCGTTTAGTTCAAAATTAGTTTTGCATGGTGTAATGTGGAACGATTTTCCGTCATCCCTTGTCAAATTTGGTTTGGAGACAAACCGGTTTCGGCATTGTGCCATCTTCAGTGTCATTTTTCGTTCTGAATGGTTTCTGTTTGTCTGTCACTATTTATAGCCGTGTTAAATCGTCGTTGGTTCATAGTTAGGTACGTACAGCGGATTATATTCTTTCGTTCAACCAGTAGTTTCAGTTCTGTGTGTACATACTCAGGTAGAAATTAGCTGCTCACCTCTTTTTTGATTAATTGTTGCATGGATTCGCAGGTAGGTAAAAATCAGTTATTTTCTTTCTTTTTGTTTCTGTAGTTTGGACCTTCATTTCATTGTTTATGGTAGTTGCAGAGTTTCTGTTTTGTTTTGCGTATAGTAGCCTGAGTGGTTCGAATAATATATCAGATGCGGTGTTTATTTGCTCATTTATTATTTTTCTGACGAACGTCTTTTGTTTGTATATCTCCATATTCTCTAATACGTTTAGGCGTTGTCCTTTGTGCTGTACATGGAGAACTTTGGCTGTCTTTCCTATGTCCATTGGCGTACAATGGTTTTCTGCCATATGGTTTGCGAAGTTCGATTCCGGGGTGGTAGAAGGTTTTAGCATTTTTTTGTTGTAGTCCCTTATATGTTCACGATATCTTGTTTTTATCTTGATCCCTTTTTGTCCTATGTAACTATGTTGACATTCGCAAGTAAACTTATATACACCTTGCTTGGCTAGTGGGGCTTCCTCGTTTGCACTATTTCGTAGTATCCTCCCCACATTGTCCTTCGTTCTAAATGCTGTATTAATGTTATACTTTTGGAATACCTTAGCCAATTTATATGAAGTTTTGCCCGTATAAGTCAAGACTGCCCAAGCCTTTTCATTATTTTCCTTCTTATTAGATTTCTTCGTTTTTGTTTCTCTTCTTATCTTGTTTACTAGGCCCTTTCTGTATCCGTTATTTTCCGCGATTGCGTATATCGTATTAAGTTCTTTGCTGTAAGCTTCTTTTTCCAATGGGGTTCGTTCAAGCCTGGTTATTAGATGTCTAAAGGCTGCATTTTTGTGCTGTTGAGGGTGGTTTGAAGTATTGTGTATTATCGTGTCTGTGGCCGTGGGCTTTCTATATATCCCGAATTCGCATTTGTTGGTAACCTTATTTATTTTAATTGTTATGTCTAAATAGTTTATTTTGCCTTCGTTTTCCTTATCCATAGTGAAATTTATATTCGAAAGAATTAATCTAAAATCGAGCACAGAGCAAAGGCGAAAAATCTTGAAAAGAGCAGAAAACAGCTTCCTTCGATATGAAATTAAGAACCTGTATGCCAAAAGAGAACGTACAAATGAGGAGCTACTTTCCATTCATTTAGAACTAGCGGAACTCCTTCCTGTCAGCACGCTCCTGGAGATATTAGATGAAATAAAGGAGAATATCAGTAAATCTATGGAAAAAAATACAATAAATTAAACAAAAAACTCGATGACCTCAATAGAAAGCAAAACATCACAAAGAACATACAACACAGCGAAATGCCTTTCCATTCCAGATTCGTAAATTTGACTAAGGTTCCCATTAGCAAACAAGAGACAGAAATATTGGAAAAAGGTCTGAAACACAGCACAGAAAATTATGATAAAAATAAAGAGGTAGAGCACACTATTGTAGACGCGGAAATGGCCATATCATTACTACCAAGCGAGGATCAAGATCATGCAAGACACATATGTAGACGTATAATTGAAAAACCCATAAAATCTATGGAAAAGAAAAAACTAAGCGACGAAAATAAAACTGTCAAAGGGCTAAAGAAAAAACTCAAAACGAATAAAGTAATCACAACAAAAGCAGACAAGGGGAACACAACGGTAATAATGTACGAAAAAGAATATAAAGAAAAGACAGAGCAACTAATCAAAGAGACAAATTGTCGGATGAAGAGAAAGGACCCAACCGATGACTACCAAGTGGCAGTAAAGCGCGCAATAAAACAAGCAGAAACAATAATAAATCCAAGGAAAGCATATACAATGACATTAATGAATCCTTCGGCCCCTTCAATGATACCACTCCCAAAAATACACACGCCAGGAAATCCGATGAGACCAATTACACTGTGAGACAAATGGTAGGGGTCAGTGATCGGGAAGGGTTCAAACTACCGGGGAAAGTTATATCGGTAAAAAAGAAGTTATACGTGTCCCGGCGTTTCGCTGGGTCTCGTCTAGGAATCGAGATATATCGACTTGAAGTTAGTAACTATGCCATCTTCAGTGTCATTTTTCGTTCTGAATAGTTTCTGTTTGTCTGTCACTATTTATAGCCGTGTTAAATCGTCGTTGGTTCATAGTTAGGTACGTCTCAGCGGATTATATTCTTTCGTTCAACCAGTAGGTTCAGTTCTGTGTGTACATCCTCAGGTAGCTGCTCACCTCTGTTTTGATTAATTGTTGCATGGATTCGCAGGTAGGTAAAAATCAGTTATTTTCTTTCTGTAGTTTGAACCTGCATTTCATTGTTTATGGTAGTTGCAGGGTTTCTGTTTTGTTTTGCGTATAGTAGCTTGAGTGGTTCGAATAATATATCAGATGCGGTGTTTATTTGCTCATTTATTATTTATCCGACGAACGTCTTTTGTTTGTATATCTCCATATTCTCTAATACGTTTAGGCGTTGTCCTTTGTGCTGTACATGGAGAACTTTGGCTGTCTTTCCTATTTTCATTGGCGTACAATGGTTTTCTGCCATATGGTTTGCGAAGTTCGATTCCGGGGTGGTAGAAGGTTTTAGCATTTTTTTTGCCTAAAATATAAATTTTTTTTATTTTTTTAATTCATAAAAAATCCAAAACGGAAAAAAAGGCAAGTCGTATTGCTTTCACGCAAAGTCACATAACCTTTAAGCAAAATGAGACATAGATCATGATATGAATTGTGAATAAAAGCGAAACGCGTCCATCGATTTTCATGAAAGCCACCTTTTCCTGAGGAACTCCTGAAGAAACTTTAATGATGTTGGAAGAACAGTTATTAACAATAACTCTTTGTGTTCTATCAGAGAGGTAAGATGAGATCCATTGAAGAAGGCTGGGCTGAAAGCCGATTAGGTCGAGTTTACGGATGAGTAACGAGTGACATACTTTGTAAAAAGCTTTACTGAAATCGGTGTATATTACGTCTGTATGAGCATTTTCTCTAAAACCGTTTGAGACATGAGTTGTAAACTCCAATAAATTAGTCATAGTAGATTTTCCTTTAGAAAACCCGTGTTGA